AAAAAAAATAGTAGCTAAACACTTGACGGAAAATAGGCCCATACAACCCTTACACAAATGGTGAACCACCACACCCTTCTTCTATACATTAATACAACTTCATACATCCTATGCCAAGTTACTAAAACTGCCCCCAACAACAATATACATAAGGTTGCCACTATCAATCCCTAAAAATCTTTCAGCATAATAGGAGAATATTGACTTAAGGATTTATCAACATCCATTAGTTCTTGATAAATATATACAAAATTCTCCACCCTAGACCTGTATTTAAAAGAGGCAAGAATGGGCAGTAGTCTTTACCTTAGTTTCTGGAAATTTATCCTCTAAACTTGTACTTCAAGAACTGAAACTTTCCTTCAAACTTTTATTTGAAAAGGGGGACAATACTCAAGAACCCAAGGTGTTTTAGGGCTGCTGATTGAAGCCAAGAGAGACCAAGAGAGTAACTTAAGAAATCTGAAAATTTTGCAAGTGAAAAATGGAGCAAAAGATCTGATCTTTATCCCTTTAAAAGGGAGGTGTAAATGGCCGACTTTCTTGGCCAATTTTAGGCCATATATTGTCAAGTAGGTGACCCACCTACTTGGCCTTTTAACTTGGGACTTTTTGGACTTAAGACTATTGGGCCTTGGTTGTCCATTTTCCCTTATTTTTCTACTCAACTTGGGCCAGATTAATGCAAGTAGGTGGTAGTGCACTTGGCCCAATTACATGGTAAACAAAACAAAAAAAAGAGTCTTAGTAGGTGATGCACCTACTTGGTCCTTTGGACTGGTCAATAAGTCAAAGTAGGTGATGCACCTACTAGCTTAGTTAAGTCAAGCAAATAGCTCACTTATTTTATTCCATTTTCTAAATATTAATCCCTCTTTCTTCAACTTAGCACTTAACTTTCAACTTTAAGCTCAATTACCACCTTACTACCTCTAGTGTAAATACTTCTGTCGGAGTTAACCTGCAGTACACATGCTGAAACATGCAAGGCGTTACATCACCTTCCGAGCTAGTTTAAACCAACACTAATCATATAATAAGCACAGTCCCTCACCTATACTATAAGGCTATGTCAAGTATCACATGAATAAAACTAGCATACGCATAATACAGGTTGTTACACGAAGTGCCAAAGGGCGAGCTGGGTCGGGTCGCCTAGTGGATTAGGCGATGCGTCGACCTGGTTGGCGAGTATTCCTGCGTGGTCTTCAGCCATGGCCATGTTCTAGAACTTTATGTAAGATGGGACAATCGCCTAGTGAATTGGGTGATGCGCCAAGTGGTCCTGCTCGCCAAAAGGTTCCTATGCAATCTTAAAGGTTTGAAATCCCTTGTTTGCCATCAATACCATCTCGAGAACCTCCATCTTCATGAATAACCCTTGCATCCTTTGAAGGTCTTGAGCTTGGCTTCTAGTAAATGGCTTTGATGAAATTCGTATTGCATCGTTCTCTCCTTCTTGAAAAGAATTTGTCCTCAAATTCGACGGATCATCAACATCAACAGTTGGGAATGGGGACAAGTCGCACACATTGAAAGTATTGTGCACTTGATATTCTGGAGGAAGGGCAACCTTGTAGGCGCTGTCATTGAGCCGCTCAAGCACTGGAAATGGTCCATCACCTCTCGGCATCAGCTTCGTCTTGCGATGGGTGGGGAATCGTTCCTTGCGAAAGTGTACCCACACCCAAATACCCGGTTCAAACACGACCCTCTTACGACCCTTGTTAGCCCTTTTGGTTACATTTTGGTTCTTCTTCACTAAGTGCAGCCGCACCTTTTCATGAAGCTTCTTCATGGCGTCATCTTGCTTACTCCCATCTAAGCTTAACACAACATCTTGAGAAAGAGGAGTAAAATATAAAGGGGTTAGGGGGTTAAAACCATAAACAACTTGAAATGGAGTCATGCCAATAGTACTATGAATAACTTGATTATATGCAAACTCAACTAAAGGCAAATGTTCCGCCCACGAGGCCAACTTTCCATGCATGATGTCACGACCCGAGAGCACTCCCTAGTCGTAACCGGCGTACTCGACCTCTCGGAGGTCTAATACAAGCCTCTTAGTATTCATTCATCGCATAACACTAAAAACCATAATGAATTAAAAACTTTCTTTACCAAGAAAATATTTCATAAAAAAAAACAATAGAAAGCGGAAGACTTTCTAGACTTTATACATGATGTCTCATAACCATCTAATACTTTAGAGTA